CCTAAACCAATTAATCTCACTGAACCTTAGTTAAATTATAGGATGCATGTTTCACAAAGTTTCAGTGAACTTAAATACATTACAGATTTGGAGGTCGTTAGATAAGATTAGGCAAGTAATTTATATACAAAAAGAAGGAAAGAGCCCTTGCTTTTAGTATGATGAGCTCCTGTTGGGACATTTTATTATACCTACTTGCTGCTATGTTGCTTAGGTGTCCCTGGGTGGTTTGAAATTAAGAATATAGATTGGTCTTTGACAGCAAAAGTTATAATAAGTTTTTATTTTAGTTGGTTGCCATTTTTTCAGTAAACTATCTCATTTTCACTGGATTGTGTTTTTATAAGAACAAGAGCAGAGAAACAAGGAGGAGATGTGAACTAAATAGGCTCCTCTGTAGGACTGAATGGAAATGAATGACAAGAAATGGAGTTTGTGAACCATCTGCCCTTCTATTTAGCTGAAATTGTCTCAGGAAATAAGATCACAGATAAATGAGAGAAGGAGCTAAGAGGGAAATGAGAATTTGTCAAGATCTTAATTTTGAAGTCTTATCTATCACAAGCTAAGGAGAAGGAACTACCAAAAGGAAAAAAAAACCACCTACTGAAAACAAACAAACAAAAACCAATTAAGGGAATTCCTTGAGGAGGAGAACATATACTATGAAGAACAGCTATGAAAGTTGAGGTAGAAGAGGATTTCAGATTTTCAAAGACATTGGTAACAATACATCATCTTTACTTTTACAGATGAATTCTATTCCATAATCCAGCTCCTAAGGTGAGTAGGTAACTGTTGATCCACACTCTTACGTCAACATTTGAAGGAATGGTTTTAATAAATTTAAAAATAAGGGTATAGAAAACAGAGAAAATTATTTAACAAAACAGGAAACATTACTGGTTACATTAAGATGAAAGTTTCTCTTTCATCAGGCAGGTAAGTCTCTGTCACATTCTAAATAAGGGATGACAGACAATTTTATATTAAAGGTCAGTTTCAAAAGAGTAGAGCAACATCATTAAAAAGATGAAACCCATGGATTTAAAATTAAAAAACCAGTCAGTGATATTCAGAGATAGACCTTATATTGGCTATGCAATTAGAGTGGGTAAGTATGTAGATAGTCTGCTTTTGAGCCTTAATGTAAACTCATTTCAAAAGATTCAGCTCTCCTTGACCGTCTTGTCATCAGGAAAAGTAACCCAAGACAACTGGATATAATACTGGCTCCATCATTGCTTTGTACACTGATGACAGGTACTGCATGTCTTAGGCCTGCTAGTTTGTTTCCTTTAGCTTGGGAATATTCTTGATTAGAATTGGAGTGGAAAGGAAGGGTATGTGAATAACTGTGCACATAGAGACAGCTGCTAAATTCAGCACTTTCATGTAGTCAGAAATAAAACTGTGTTTACCATAGGCAATTAAATATGAGTGGATGTATCACATTTTATGTGGAAAAAGAAATTCTTATGGACACGCAAAACCTCATGTGAAATAAGACTGCAATAGCTGTTACAGCCCTATGTAGGAAAACCACATGGCTGCAAACTATGTTATGTTTATTGATTTCAAGTTCAAAATGCATTTGAGAAGAAGAAAATTAAGGTATTCTACATAGTAAAATATGTGCTTTGGCAATGACTTATACAGAACACTGGGCTTACAGAGAAAGCATTGGTCCAGATAAATAACCTCTTTATTTATGTCAAGAATTTTTAAAATGCTACATTTAATTTTAATATCACAATGAGAAGTATTTCTCCTGCTTGATAGGCCTCATTACACTACACTGAATATAGTGTTTGCCTTATTTAACAATTTTTATCAATCATTTAACAATGGATAATGCACTCAGTG